GATATTTAGAAGCGATGACTGATCTGGCCATGCCTCATTTGGACAGTTCATAGCTGCTACCAACCAGCCTCCTCCTCTTCCTCCTCAATCATCTGTGGGTTAGAGTTCATAACCTCTTCCCGCAGCCTTTACTTTACCTTTCCTTTACCCTTTTTTATCCTACACATAAACACACACACAGGTCTCTTAACTTTTCGTCTCACTCTCGCTCAAGTCGCGAGCAATTCTGACACATTGAATTAACAAGGATCGAAAATTTTGAATAGGAATTTCAATTCAGCATCATGTGTCAGGAACGTGAACTAATCCCAAACAAAAATGGCGCGGCGAATTTAAAAAAACTTTTGCAGCTTTTCTTTATATTTTTTAGCAAAACAGGGTTACCACGCTTTTACTCATTTCAAATTCCCTGACTTTTACAGGTTTTTAAAACTATATTTATTTTTTACCAAATTAAATAACTAATAAATTTTTATAAAAGATGGAACTTTGATATAATTTTTATAATATTTATTTATTACTCAATCAGGGTTGCCACAAAAATTTAATTTTCTTTTTTCATGACTTTTCCCTAACTTTCAAGGCTTTCAAAACTATTCTGATTCACTATAAAAGAAATTAGATAGTCAAAGAATGTTCTATTACATTTATTTGCAAATTTTTTTAATTGTAAAATTATTCGAAAACATCAATAACTTCTTTTTTAAATAAATTTATAATCATTATTATTTTTCCAACGGAATTAGGATTTTCAAAATATTCAAATTCGAACCTTTATAAAACATGAAGGAATAATTATTTTATATATTAAAAGAATATTATTTACTGTAACTTCTTCAAAATTATTTTTATCATTTCAATTCAATTATTATTTTCTAGAATTTCGAACTAAAATTCTTCTTTAACTCAATTATTTTTAATAATTTTTGAAAAAGTTATTCTTTGAGAATTTTCAAATCCATTTGTTTACAATTCAATTTTATAAAATTTCGATTATTCCGAATCTCTTCCATTAAATAATTAGAGGTGTGCAAAAAGCTCGAATAGCCGAGCCGATCCCGAGCTGGGCTCGATGTATCGAGTACTCGAAATTTTCGAGTACTCAATTTGATTCGAGCTTTTAAATTAAAAAAAATATTTTCTCCAACACTTGCTCTGAAAGGAGTACTTTTCTTGGTAGAAAAGTGTGGCGAAAGTAGAACTTTTCTCAACTGCTCTGAAGAGCGTGGCGAAAGTAATTTTTAGCGTGGCGAAAGTAAATTTGGCGTGGCGAAAGTAAATCATGAATTTATTCTTTTTTCTTGTTCTTTGACCGAGATTTATTTTGTATCTAACTTCTTCCCCACTCAAAACATTCGTCTTTTATTATATTAAACATAAGAACATTTTAAATTAAAATTAAACGAAACTCACGAAGAAACCTTTCCTCGCAAGGCGTTGGAGAAAACGTAGTGCACAACTCGTGGTGAAAGAATGATTTTTCTTGAGTGATTGCTGCTCTCGCTACGTTCGAGCCGCAAACTTCACTCTCGAAAAATCACACTTTCGCCACTAGTTGTACAATGTACTATTTTATACAAAAAAAAATTTAATTAAAAATTGAAGTAGAAAATTTTTGATTTTCTCATGGGCTCGAATCAAATCGAGTACTCGAAAATTTCGAGTACCCGAAATTATTCGAGCTTTTTGCACACCTCTATTAAATATAATTATATTAGAAAATAAAAACTTCAAACAGTTTCAAAATAATTCAATTAAACTTTTTCATAAAAATTAATTGTACTAAATTGTTAGTTAAAACTATGAAAAATTCAAATTTTCAAAGATTTTAATTTTAAACCTTATTTCAAAATTCAATTATTATCTAAAAATTTTAACTGAAATACAGTTTTAAATCAATTTTTAATAGAAAATTCTTGGAGAATTCAATTATTTAAATACAAAAATAAATAATTTATTGACTAATTGAATTTTTCTTAAAATTGAATTCCGATAAAGAATTTTATCAACAAATTTTTAAATAATTCAATTCTTTTGACGAATTTTATAATAAAAATTTTAAGAATAATTACATTTTTCGAGAAATTGATGAATAAAAAATAATTTAAATTCTGCGATAAGTTTCATTGTTTATGAAAATAATTAAATTCCTAAACAAAATTTTATTATTTATGAAAATAATTGAATCCCTGTAAAAAATTTTATTATTTATGAAAATAATTCAATTATTGCGAAGAAAATTATTTAAAAATTTGTAAGTAACTGAATTCCTGTGCAATTTTTATTATTTGTAAAAATAATTAAATGTTTGCGTAGAATTTTAGTAAATTTTTTTTTAAATAATTGAATTCTTTCTGAAAAGTTGATTGAAATAGTAGATATTGAAAATCATTGCGAAGAATCTTTGAAAATAATTAAAATTTTGCCAAGAATTTTACTAAAATTGTTAAAAATAATTGAATTTCTGTAAAGAATTTTAATACTTTTGAAAATCATTGAATTTTAGAAAAGAATTTTATTATACATTTATTATTTATAAAGATAATTGAAAATTTTGACAAGAATTTTAAAAAATTTTTGAACATAATTGAAAAATTTCACCGAAGAATTTTATTACTTTTGAAAATAATTGAATTCGCGAATTTCGTGCCAAGAAATTTATTTTATTTTATTTTACTTATTGAAAACAATTGATTTGTTTCAAAGAAAATTAAAATTTTTTCGTGAAATTTAGTTAAAATTGTATTAAAAATAATTCAATTCTTATGAAGAATTTTTATTAAAATTTTTAAAAACAATTGAATTTTTTTGAGGAATTTCATTTAAATTGTATTGAAAATAAATAAATTCCCGTGAAGAATGATATTATTAATGAAAATAATTGAATTGATGAGAAGAATTTTATTATTACTTTAGAACATACCTAATTGAATTTCTGTGAAGAATTTTATTACTTTTGAAAATAATTTAATTTATGCAATCATTTATGAAACTTCTCAAAAATTCAATTCAATTTTACAAAATTTCGATTATTAGGAAATTCTTCAATTAAATATATAATTATTAGATAATAAAAACTTCAAATAATTTAAAAAGAAATTCAATTAAACTTTTTCAAAAAAATTAGTTCTACAAAAATAATAATTAAAATTATGAAACCTTTTCAAAATTCAATTATTATCTAAAATTTTAACTGAAATAAATTTTTATTCAAAAATTGTACGAAAATTCAATGATTTAAATTGAAAAATAAATAATTTATTGAATAATTGAATGTTTCTCGAAAAATGGAATTTTGATAAAGAATTTAAAAAAAAAAATTTTTTAATATTAAATTTTGTTGACGAATTTTAATACAATTTCTAAGAATAATTTCATTTATCTAGAAATTCGATTAAAATTGTATTAAAAAGAATTGAATCCTAAATACTTGAATTATTGCAAAGAAATTTATAAAACATTTGTAAAGAATTGAATTTCTGTAAAATTTTCATTATTTATGACAGTTTATGAAAATAATTAAACGTTTGCGTAGAATTTTATTAATTTTGAAAATAATTGAATTTCTGCAATCATTTGTAACGTCTCCAAAATTCAATTTTCTTTAGTGTTTTTAACAAAAATTCTTCTATAAATCCTTTATTTTCAATAATTAATTAAATGTATAGGTAGGTATATTAAAAAATTTAAACTAATTTGAGAAGAATCAGAATTATTAAAATTTTTGAAAAATTTAAGTTCTTTAAAATTTCTAATAAAATTCATTAGCTGTGTTCACAGTGAAAATGCATTCGATGAAATAAAGTAATAATTGCTGATTTTTAACAACTTTTTTAAATCTTTTGGACCCAAGGCCACAATATAAACAATTTTATTTGACAAAAATTAAGGTCCTGAAAACACTCTATGTAATAAAATTCATTGAAAATTTAAATTTTTTAAAATTTTTAATTGAAAGTTAATTTAAAAGAAATTATTGTCAGAAATAGAAAAAAAATGAAGGTTTTGTATTAGAATTTGTGGTAATTTTATAGTTTATGGACACAAAAATTCAGAATTTTTTTATGAATTCTAGAATTCAAGGTTTATATAATTTTATTCCCTGACATTTCCAGGTTTCCAGGTTGCGTGGCAACCCTGCAAAATTGTTTTGCCGCTAAATTATTATTAGAAACTCGATTTTCGGTTATTAAATTGAAAGAAAATTGAAATCAATATTTAAAGAACAAAACAATCAATGTTTGTTGTCGATTTTATATAATTTTTCTTTAAGAATGAACAACATACATATTGTATGGAATATAGATCAATATATACACGAACACAATTTTTTTTACAGCGCTTTAATTTAATTGTCACATATATTTCAATTAAAAATTAAACATACTAATTAATAATAGATCTATATTTTATTTAATAATATGAGAAAAATTTTCTCATACTAGTTTTCTATTTTTCTTGCTCTGAATTGTATACGTAATTTATCGGTGACAAGGTGTAATTTTTTTTTCATAAAAAAATATACACTTTTTATTCAGAATTCGATTCACATATTATGCATTTATATAGAAAATGACTCATTTTTTCCACAAATATCTTATAATACATACAATAATATCATCGATTATGTTTTACATTTTGTCAATAAATTAAAGTAACTTTAACGCAATTTTCAAATTAATAATTAATTCTTAATTGGTAAATGTAGGAAAAACTAGAATTAAAATTAAGAAAAAAAAATATCGTTAAGATCACAAAATCGTTTTACTCACAATAGGTAAATATTAATTACATATAATGAAAATAATATTGAAAATCAAAATTTAGAATTCTAAAATTATACAAAATCTAGGTTATTTGTTTAAAATAAAAAAATTAATGTTTAAAAACAATTTTATAATTCAATGGAGAAACTAATAATTCGTTTTTTAAATAAGAAGAAAATTGAAATTAAAAGAAATTAAAATTATTAATTATAGAATTAAATTAAAATATTAATCTGTGTCCTCTGCATATATTAAACTGCATACAGTGTTGAAAAGAGAGGGAAAATCTTTTACAAAGTCTGAATATTGGAATACAAAATCGTAAATTATTTCTTAACACGTGAGTTTTTTTATCTACAAATTTTTCGAAATTAATCTCTACGTTTATATCCTCGAGAAAGGAGTAAATATCGCGCATATTTCAGATCAAAGTTTACAGTACTAGTTTTCACATATATACTTTAAAACAAAAAAAAGGAAAAAAATGACTGTTTATCAGGTACATTACGTTTTGAAATCTCACTTTTAAAATTTAAATTTCTATTTTGGAAAGGACATGACTTTTGTGATTAATCTGTACTCCTGCATTTTGTCAGTTTGTGCTGATTAAAATTTCCTTTTTTTCGAAGAGGACATCTTTATATACATTATATTTATATATATATATATATATATATATATATATATAGACTTTTATAAGTCATGGGAATACAGTAGAATCCCGCTTATCCAAAGTAATGTGGGGAAGGGGCACCTCGGATAAGCGAAAACTCGGATAACACGGATGAAATAAAGAATTTGAAAATTTTAATAATTTTTTATGTATTTTGAATGGAAGAATGAAATATGCACACAAAACTCGCAACCGTAGGGCACACAAATCGTGTTATAACAAGTTTATGTGTTCATAAGCCACGGCACTTTCCGTATTATCCGAGCTGCACCTCGGATAATGCGGATTGGTCAGAGCGCAACGGGTGCCTCGGATAACCCGGAAGCTCGGATAAGCGAAGGTCGGATAAGCGGGATTCTACTGTATTTTCGACTATTTTTCTCTAGTCTAAAATTCTTAGAATATCCCTTTTTTATAATTAAACATTCATAGTCATAGTTAGGTTTTATGCATCTATTGTAAGATACGTCTTGATAATAATTATTTCAGTTTCATGCTTTCTCTCTCTCTCTCTCTCTCTCTCTCTCTCTCTCTCTCTCTCTCTAAATATAATATTTTTTGGGTGCGTTAACTGCACACTGTAATAATCTAAATTTACTACTTACATTATCTTAAAATCAATTTTCTAACAAAATTTCCGTTTTCCATGAAAACAGAATATATTTCTTGCATCAATTATTGAAAATTGCACTTTCGATAATGTTGCTAGAGATTTTTTTTGCGATCTGATAGCAAATTGTATTCCATTAATTGTGGATTATTATTCACCTTTTATTTACAAGAAAACACTTGTATTATTATAGTTAACACCCAGAAATCCTCACTGTCATCCGACAGACAAATAGCAAATTTCAATTTAAAGAACTGTACAATTATCTGAAATTGGAGAATATTCGAAATTTAGAATTGACAAATCGACAAATAATGATTCAAAAGTTCTGAACGTTCAAGTAAACAAAATCTCTTTTGCCAATATTAATAATTTGAAAAATTACTATTAAAAAAGGCGAAAACGAAATTTATCAATTTAGAAAATTTAGAATTACTTATTTTGTAATATAACCTGACGCAATATTATTGCAATAAAATTTTAATTCATGGAGAAATAAATTTATTAGTAGTAAATAATAAATTATAATGAATAGATTTTGTTCATTTGAAAGTTCAGAACTTAAGGGATATAATTATTCAAAAAACAAGAATTTATATACTAAAAAAGAAATGTGAAAAGAAATAAAATCAAATTTAATGGTTTCGTTCATTTGAACATTGTTTAAATAAAAAAGAATTTAAATACTAAAAAATAAATAACAAATAAAAAAAGAAGTTAAATAATTGAAGACTCACAAATGTTTCTTTTGTCTATTTGTGTAATGAGAAATTAGTGCTTTATCTTACCTTTATTGGAAGAAAATGACTAATCTAAATGACCAAAGACTTCTTGGCTTGCAAACACGATATAAAGAAAGCCATCATCATCTTTTTCGCGTTGATAAAGTTGAGCCATAGTCATACTACCACTCGCCATACACCTTTGATTCACCAGTAAAAAGAATGCTTGCGTTGGATTCAGTTGCAATCGACGTCTACACAAATTTAATTATCATATAATGCGCAATTTACTCGTTAGTCATGAAATATCATAAATTAGTTCTACAAATAGTTCACGAAAGGACAAAAAAGAATTTCGTTTCCAAAAATTGAAACAACCATCACTAGAATAAAATTTAGAGAAATTTAATTTAATTCCAATCAATGAAAATACATACTGTCAAACGTCTATAATTTGTTTTCTTTATTCTAACTTTTTTGAAAAATATTTTTTTATACGTAAATAATTTAAATAAAAAAGTAAAATGAAAATAAATTAATAATAATAAAAATAAATAAAATACATACAATAATTTAAATTTAAATTCAAGAACAAATTACCTTATAATTTTAATCAGTTCTGCAACCGGTAGATGATCAGGAACTAGAAATTTTGATTTGTCCAGTAGTGGCAATAATTTTTCTGCATAATATCTCTCAACAATTATAGGAACTTTGTTTGGATGCTGTTTCTTTATGAGCTCTACATCGGCTACACGTTGTGCTAATTAACATTAGAATTGTAAAAAATTTCAATTCTCGATGTATAATTAATTTTTTACAATTAGAACCCAAGTTTGGTAAATAAATGGTTTGTTTTCAAATTTTGAGAACAAGTATAACGGGGATATTTTTAGTTCAAATTATCAGGAATTGTAATCATATTAACATTAATTATAATAGATAAACTTGTTTAAATCTTGTGCAATAAATGTCAGTTTCATTAATCATAACTCTTCTCGAAAAATGAGAAAGGAAAAAATTCCCTGCATTTTATTGACTTTTTCATATTTTCTTTCTATATAATCTAATTCTTTTTCTATAATCGATAAATAAGAAAAATAAATAGACTAAAAAATCCTTTTAAAAAATTTAATCGTTTGAAGAAATACATAAAATTAACATATAATTTTTGTAGATAAAAAGGAAAAAGTAAACTATTGTCTTAGAATTTTCATTGAACCGTCACTTTCTAGGCATAAAATAGAGAAGCCTCAAAATAATTACTTAACTATACGAGACGAGTCCAATGTTTTATGCTCACAAGTTTCAAACATAATTGATAAATTAAATTTTGAAGAACAATTAAAACTCACGCATAATTAGTGTCAGAAAAAAAATTATAATATATACGTTTGTCAATATAAGAATTGGTGTTGAATGTTATCAAAAGAAATTTATTATGTGAAAGCTTTCTTTGTATATTTTTGTAAGAATATTTTTCGTAGATAATTATTGTACTTGTGTAACTCACCAAATGTTCGCCTTTCTTTGAACGATTTCATTGTCGAAGTCATTTTGTATTTTATTATTTAATTTCTAATTTAACTTGTACTACGACTTAATTTTTTCGATGTCAGCTGTGAAACGCAAGATTATTTGTTTTGTCAAAATTCTGACCTACAGTGACGCTTTGTGAAAGTTAAGGTTAGGTTAGATAAGCGACTTTAAACTAGAGGGCACCACTTGATAGGACCTAATTTATAGTGGTAACACTGTTACAAAAAGAATAATTTCCTGAAAGGAGAACATTTTTGTAAAAAACGTAAAAAATGAAATTTGAAAAGAAAAAAAAGTTATTTTACATTTTTTGTTTTTAAAAATTAAAAAAGTAAGAAAATAGAAATCTTTATTTCTCAGGGGTTGAAAATTATAGTTACGCTCCTGAGTTTAAAGCACATGCGCATTACACATTCTTTTTTGCGCAAATGTAAAGCGCGTAATTGTTGAAGCTTTTTATTGAAAAAAAACGCACATTACTTGGTGATAATTGAATTGGCATTAATATCTCCAGTGAAATCGTGACTAGAATGCTTACACTTTAACAGATTAATCAAAGAATAAAGTAAAAATTTAGCATTTAAAGAACGGGGCATTTAACCTCAAATTGGAAAAAGGCCGCCAGGAAACACCTGTCCTACCTTCCATTATCAAAATACAGAATACAAATTCTGTTATAATTTATTTGAATAAATTATCTCTTATCGAAAACATTAAAAATATAATCGAAAATCTATGTTCTCTCTCTCTCTCTCTCTCTCTCTCTCCCTGAGAGAGAAGAGAAAGAAAGGAAAGAAATAAAGAATCACTGCCCTCTGTAGGAGCATCGGCCGTCAAGAATCGAATCGCGAAAAGCAAAGGACACCTTGTGTCTGCCTTCCCTCTCCCAAAGTAATCCTTTTCCTGCTTTGTTTCTCCTTCCAATATAGTGCTTTAATCGGGGGGAAACAAAAAGGAAAAAAATAAACACCAATAAAACATGGTGACGGTTTGTGTGTAACAAAGAAACAAAGTTTAATGTTATAAATGAGTGATATATAAGATTCTTGTAGCACACGAGATGCATCCCCACCCCCTCCTCTGCCCTTTCTACCAATTCTTTAGTAAGTTCTTTTTAGTGAAACTAAGTTGGTGCGATTGACGTCCAGTGAATTTTTCCTTATATACTTTGCGAGTCTCCGCGACAAAGTTATACATAGAATTTTGTTGTGTTTACATCGTTTACATGTGAACAACCCATTCTGACAAGTAATTGATCTCACCAGCGAAAACAAAGTCGAGAAAATTGTTTGGGGGAAAAAAAGAAAATTTCTGACACATGTGCACAACACACAGAGCGCTCGTTGTATATTTCAGTGATTTCAGTATAAAGCTGTTTTACGGAAGTTGAACCTCGTGTAAAATATTCTTCGATAATAATTTTCGACGAGAGTGATGAAAAGTAACGAAAAAATGTGATGATAAAGGAAAAAAGTGATGTGAAATGAAATCCCTTGTGTGTTGAAAAGTGATGTCTCTAAGTTAAATGTGAATTAATTATTGTGGTTGAGTTTATTTGGCGTCGTGGGGGAAAAAAGAGAAGAGAAAAAGAAAAGGAAAAAAAAAGTTAGACGAACTGCATGGCCTGCAAGGGGAAATGCACCTCCAACGAGGATCGATCATCAGAGGAGAAAATCAAGAGGTTTTTCAAAGGGCGGATACAAATTCTCGGAATTGCATTTTTGGAGGAGAGAAACGACAACGACGACGACGACGACTGAATGAATCAGAGTCATCAAACTTGCCCGGTCTGGTGCCAACAACCTTTTAGTTAGGAAACGGCTCACGATGCGTTTGCTTTTCTACACGCTAGATTATAAAATTAGACGCTCGAAAGCTAGCTCAATTATAAAAAGAGTAGAAAGAATTAAAATAAAGAGACGAAACGAGAAGACGAGAGTCTTTTCTTAGTTTGCTTATTGTTAAAAAAAGATGTTATATTTCTAGTCCCTTTGCATTTAAAGAGAATTCGTCAAAATAAAAGAGACTGAAGAAATTAATTTATTTTCAAAAAAAGGATAAACTAAACTATGTCCTGCAATTTTGTTCAAGTACGTGATGTAGGTGACTTTGATGTTATTTCAAAGAAACAAAAGAATTTCAAGATAATTTCAACTAATTTTAGTCTACACATTTCAAATCAGAAAGATAGAAATAATTTTAATAAAAGTTTCGAGGGGGAGAAAAAGAATTCAAGTGTCAAAAGCACTTCAAAGAGGAGGGAAAATTCTTTAACGGTCAAGAAAGATTCTTTAAAGAGCAAGGTACATTTAAAGAGCAACGAAAATTCTTTCAAGTGCAGTGAGAATACTTTAAAGAGTAGAGGAGATTTTTTCAAGGATTCGTCAAAGAAAAAGAAGAGGAATTTAGTGTCAAATGAAAGGACATTGGATTTGAGATGTTTTAAAGTATTTAAAAATTTAGAAGAACTCTTACGCATTTAGCATGGAGAGGGGAAAATAAAGAGATCTCAATGGTCTCAAATGACAAGTTTAATTTCAACATTTGAGATGCCCCTTTCGAAACAGAATCCATCTGGAGCCTCAACGCAGACTTATATCACAAATGAAAACAATCATCTGCCACCCCTAAAAGCCGGGAGTATGGTTTTAAAACAGGGCGAGTCCCCTGTGATACAATGGAGTCACGAGGAAGTCTATTTACCTGTTTTGGAATCAAGTACAAATAATAGCCTGCAAAATTTGACGAGTAATTCAGAAAGTCTAAACTTGAGTTTATGTTCACACGCGAGTCACACCAGCCATAATAGTCACAATTCACACAATTCGAGTCATAACTCGAATTACTCGCAAACGAACAGTCAATCAAGCAGCCCAATGGTGAAGAATGGTCAGTCGGACGGCAATTCAAGTAGTGGAAAACCAAAAACAATGGCCGTTACACCTGAATTAGTGATGAAACTTTACATGAATAAATTAACCGCATACGAGCATCATGAGATTTTTAATTATCGACAAATTTATTTTATTGGAGCGAACGCCAAGAAGCGACCAGGAATAATTGGCATGCCAAATAATAATGATTATGACAATGATCAAGGTTCATATATTCATATTATTCACGATCACGTCGCCTACAGATATGAAGTGTTAAAAGTCATTGGTAAAGGTTCATTTGGACAAGTTGTCAAGGCGTACGATCACAAAAGTCAAGAGCACATTGCATTGAAAATGGTGAGAAATGAAAAAAGGTTTCATCGGCAGGCGCACGAGGAAATTCGAATATTGAGAAATTTACGTGAACAAGATAAGGACAATACAATGAATATTATTCACATGTTTGACTCGTTTACATTTAGAAATCATATGTGCATTACATTTGAATTGCTTAGTATCAATCTGTATGAACTTATTAAGAAAAATAAATTCCAAGGATTTAGTCTTCAGCTGGTGAGAAAATTTGCGCATTCATTGCTTCAGTGCCTCGAAGCCTTGTACAAAAATAAAATTATTCACTGCGACATGAAGCCGGAGAATGTTTTACTTAAACAACAAGGACGAAGTGGAATTAAGGTACGACTTTTTTCTTTCTTCCAAATTCAAATAATTTCAATTTCTAAAATATTTCCCTCTTTCAATTATTATCATTATATTGTTGTCATTCTCTTTAAATGAATTGTCTTGTCAATCAAGGTGCTTTATTTTCAAAATATAAATAAGATTGTCTCCATGACAGATAATTCGAAAAATAAACATTGCAAGGAATTTTAAAATTTCTCTATTATTACTAAATGCGTATATTTCATTAATAAATCAGTTGGAAATTTTTTTTTAAAAATTCATTATTTTACAAAATAGTATTTACCTACTTTTCTTTTCATTAATTCTTATTTCCTTTTTCTAAATTGTTTTTACAGTTTTTTAATTATTTTTTTATTTCATTTTTGCTTCCTCATGGAGGAGGGATTATATTTTATTTCATTTTTTTGGACATACATACATATTTTCTTTGTAAATAAAATTATTTGATTATTTGATGAAAAATAAGTTATTGTAAATTATAAATTATAAATAAATAAACAAAATTTACAAATTATTAAATATTTATGAATAAGAAAGAAAATAAAATAAAAATATTTGAAAAATATAAATAAATAATATTATTATAAACTGTATAGGTACATAATAAATAATAACAGAAAACGAAAACAAATATTTTATAATACTTTTATCATTCATTTTTAGTTCTATTCATTCATTTCTAATAAATTATTATTTTTAATTTATAAGGAATTCCTACTAATTGTAAATTAAAAATCAATAAATAAATTACAAATTAATTTCTATTGATTATAATTTAAAAATAATAATTAAAAATTAAATTAAAATGAAAATAGAGAAAAAATAATTTTTATTTTGAAATTACCTAACCAAAAAAATCTCTTTCTTTGTTAATTGAATTAATAATAATAATAATAATAATAATTAATTGTGAGAGAATAAAATATCTTTTTTTGGTATGCAGTACTATATTAAGTAGGTACTATAAGGTCGTGGAAATTGATTCATTTAAAAATCTAAACCAATTGAATATATTTATTGAGAGACAATGAGAGGAACAAAAGACAAACTTTTTTTTCTCTATTGAAAACTTTTTTGTTTGGAAATATTGGTTTGACGTGTGAGCATTGTCTCTAAATCTAATTAATCACGTCATATACGATTTTCTGCTATTAATGATTTTCATTGAATTAAAAGTAGTGTATGAAGTCATGTATATTATAGCAAAAGTGTGAAAATTGACAAACAATCAAAATTTATGTCGATTCTTGACTATTTTGTTTTGTTTCATTTTCTCATTTGAAGAGAAATTATTCATGCTGTTATATTAATTGTTGAAATTAATAAATACTAGCCACACTATCCGCGCGCAAGCGCGCGGGCATGTTGTTTGGAACTGCTTATTTTAAACAATTTGAAGCCATTTTATTTTAAAATTTTTTTGAATAAATAATTATTATTTCCTAACAAAAATATGTAACTAATTAAAGGTGGAAGAAGATAACAATTATAGAGATTTAAATTTTCATTTTGTATTATTTTGAAACTTTAAAATTACAAAAAAAAATTTAACAAATTTGAACTTCTAATTTTTTTTTTAAATTCAAATACACTAAAAAAAAGTTTTACTTGAAACAGCGATAAGTTTCTCTAGAATAGCGAAAGTATTAATTGAAACACTGAAAAATTTCGCTAATAATAAAGTGAAATCTGTAGTTTATCCTGGTAAATATTTTTGTCGTGCACATCGAAAAAAATAATTAAATTAACATATCAGATTTTCTAAAGTCAAAATAACGAATTTAATGTAGAAATTAATCAATTCAAAACTTTACAAAATTCACTCCAGAAATCACTGAATCCGATAATTTAGAAGAAAGTCAGACAAATGGAAGCTCTATTTTATATTTCTAAAATGTAATGTCAAATTTAACGCATTAGAAACGAATTTCAAGTGAATCTTATAAATTTTGTTAAAATACTATTACTGCTGTTAAACTTTCTTGTTGTACAAAGAAAATTGAATCTCGCAAAAGTTGTTCTAAATTTTATACTTTTATTTTAAAAATAATTTTGATTACGAAAATTTTAAATTATTCTAAAAATTAAAAAAATAATTATTCATTTAGCTTTTTAAACAAAGAATTCCGTATCTTTCGAAATTAACATACTGCAAAAAATTATAAATTAATTGAAAAATGATAAAGTTAAACAACTTTTAAATCTAATTTTTTTGGAAAACAAATTATCTGTCGTAAAAATACTAAGTATAATTTGCATTAATTATTTAATTACAAGATATAATATAAATAATGAAGCATCACATTAAAGAAAAATATTCTAAATTCATTTTTGGAAACAAAAAAAAAATTTCAGGTAAATTTTAGGCGTATGATAGCCCCCAAATTTTAATTCTATACATTGATTGTTTAATTGAGTTTTTAACTTTATAATTATCATTTACTCAGCAGGTATGTGTCCATAATTTAATTTTAATGATAAATCGTCCAAGGTCCTTCCGGCAGGACGAAAAAGACTCAGATGAGTCCCTTCGAAATCACTAAAGAAAACTAACATGGATTCAGATAAATAAAAAATGATATATATCATTGGAAAGGTAATGAAACAAGCTTTCAGCGCATATAAATATCGAGCTTGTAAGTTCAAAACTAAGGGCTGGGTAGTTTGAAGAAGTTACATGTTCCAAAAATTCACATAATTTTTAGTCACAGAATGACGAAGCCCGGTCCTGCCGGCAGGACGCTTTTCGCTTTATTTAAGAGACTACCTAGCCCAGGTTTATAAATTTAAAGACTCGATATTTACATCATTTGAAAGCTTGTTTCATTACCTTTCCAACGATATATGTAGTTTTATATTTATCTGCTTCCATATTAATTTTATAGAGCAATTTCGAAGGGACTCGCGCCTGAGTCTATACTCAGATATACTGAACAATATTAAAAATGATTCTTTTTTAATTAAACAATTAGGTTTCATTCTTTGAACGTTTCTGAAGAGAAAGAGACTTCTCCGGTCAAAAAATATTAATTTTTGGGGATTTTACATTAAATTTACGAAAAAATGTTTTTTTCACTGTTTAAAAACATAGCAAGTTTGAAGGCTTTGAAAAATGGTTTAAATTATTATTTTAAAAAGTCAAAAATATGGATTTTTTCGTCTTTTCGTCTATTTTAATCCCAAGGAGTGCCAGAAAAGAAAAGTTAAATTCCCTTTTTTAAAAGCCTTTTTTTCGGAACGTCCTTCCGGCAGGACGGGCGTTTGGACGATTTATCATTAACATTATTTAAATATTGAGAATAGATATGTGATGTAGGGGTAGGGGGACAGTTTTCCCAATCTGCATTTCCCAATAGTTATTTTTCCCAATAATTGTTTCTCCCAATGGTCATATTTGCCAAAATTTTATTTTTTCCCAATGGACATTTTTCCCAAAATATTTTCTTCGTAGTAAATATATAAGATGTAATAAACTAACTTCATTGTTATGTAGTAACATGGTTGCCACAAAATGATAAATATAAAATTCTAGGCTGTTTCCAGGATTTTCCAGGTAAATACTTATGAAATTCCAGTCAAAAATTAAAAAAATTTCTGGCCCAATAACAATTGGGCCAGAAATTTTCAGAAATCTTCAGCTCTAAAAATTTTTTAAAAATTCTAAATACCAAAAACCTAATAAGAATAAAAGACCAAAAATTTTTCTTCCTTAGAGATTTTTATATGGCAATGAGATAAAAACATTTTTTAATTTTAAGTTAAAATATTCTTAAAAATCTTTAATAGACAAAATTCCAGAAAATTTTTAAATTAAAAAAAAATTATTTATTGTTCCTAAACTATGACAAGAACAATAATAATTAATATCTGGGTCATCGAAATGAATTTAATTCACAATTTATTAATAAATGTAGCCACAGCCGATAATCAGCAGAGGAGATGGGTCAAAATTCGTGAAGTGGGCAACTAATTTTCAGTTGGTCAATAAGTTTTCATAAAATTTATGTTTTTCTGTTTGAAATAATAAATAAAAAATACAAGTTGAACAGTTTTGCAAAATTCGTTTTTTTGTTGTACATATTGTTAAACAAACTTTTTTGCATGAATTTAGAAAAGTTTTTTTTTTAAATAAAGTAATAGGTAAAATTTAATGATTTTTGGTATGGTTATATAAAAATAACACGATTTTTGATTAACATTTTTCATTTTAAAATTTAACGTAATTTGATAAAATTATAAACAATTTATTTAAACAAATGAAAATAAATGCAACTTCTCGATCTGTTATTTTATTTTTCAAAATTGAATATAGTTCCTTATTTAATGCCCAAGTATTACCAAAAAGAAAAAATTGGTATTTTACATTTGTTCAAAAGAAATAAATAATTATGTTAATAATAATAAGCATTAAAAAATCATAAAATCTTAAAAATATTTTTTTTAGCTTCATTAATTAACAAAATTAATTATAAAAACCTATTAAAATAATGTTTGAGTGTTTCTGATGTATGAAAAAAGTATAACAATTTATTAAATTGTTTAAACAATTAATTGTTGTTATTTTTTTAAATCTGCACTTAGGGCTGGAAATTTCTAGTTTTTTCTCAATAATTGTGCAATTTGTCAAGAGTAAAACATCTTGTAATGATAAAAAATAAATTAATTAAACATTGTTTAAACAATTAATTGTTATTTTTCTCATAAAGTGTACTTAGAGCTAGAAATATCTAGTTTTTTCTAAATTCAATCAACTAAAAAAATTAAATTTAAAAAAATAATAAAATAAATGTTAATAAATTGTTTTAAACAATGGTTAAATAATAAATTTTTAGTTTTTCTATTACACTTAAGTGTTTAAGTTATATAAAAAATGTCACAATTAAGAAAAAACTAGGAATTTATAGTTTTAAGTACAGTAAATTGAAAAATTAATAGAATAAATTGTTTAAACAATGTTTAAATATTTAATTTTTTGCTTTTCTTTGATACTT